GATTTTCCAAGGGGCCTCAGAGAGGCATCCCAAGTGACCCTCAGATTCATCCAGAGGGTTCCTTGCCCAAGATACCACTTCCACGATCGTCTGAAACATTCACTCCTTGTGGGGGTCGGCGGAATGGCGCAGGCTCTTCGAATATACAAACACACACAGTTTGTTCCCATGCCAGTTGATCCGACGCAGCGAGAGTCAGAGCGGGGCTCGCCTAGATTGATTACCACCTGGCGCGCGGTCAGGACGCTGCCGACGCGCACAGGGCCAAGGGTGGAGCAGAAGCCGGCGCACGCCGAAAATGCCGAGTCCACGACAGAAACAGACACGCACACGCACCTTGATTCGGGCTGGGCGAAGGGGGGGGTAATTAGCAAAGGGGGGGGGGAGAATCAGCTCACGTAGCTGACTTTCCCGGCGCCTCCCGGCGCGGGAGGCGCCCGTGTATCGAGGAATGGGCCCGGCGGCGGGGCCGAAGCCAGCTGCATGCAGCAGATTTCGTACCCCCCCCTTTCCCTATACACAACACACGCACGCACAACACACGCACGCACGCACGCACGCACACGCACACGCACACGCACACGCACACGCACACGCACACGCACACGCACACGCACACGCACACGCACACGCACACGCGCACGCACGCACGCACACGGACACGCACACGCACGCACCGACCCTGGGTGCAGACTTGGCGCCCTCCGGCGGCCCCCAGGCGGTCAGGTCCAGCCGCAGCTGCCCGGGCCTGCCGTGCTGCCGCGGCATGGCCGCGGCGGGCCGCCCCCGGCGGCGGGGGGGGGGGCCGTCGGGGCCGCGGCGCGGCGGAAGGGGAGCGGAGAGGCGGGAGGTCGAGGGGTTTCGGAGAGGGAGGAGGGCGGAGGAGGAGGAGGAGGAGGAGGAGGAGGAGGAGGAGGAGGAGGAGGAGGACGAGGAGGAGGAGGAGGAGGAGGAGGAGGAGACAAGACAAGACAAGACAAGCTCGCGGAGTCCTGCGGCAGGGACGTGTCCTTGACGCCGAGGGCTCTGAGGGGGCGGCAGTCCGCCGACTTCTGCACAGTGCTGGCCGCGCGCTCCCCGATTGGGGCACGGGCCCAAGCGGCAACCCCAGGGGCACGATATCCCCTATAGGAGGCCCAGAGATCCGAGGATCCGATCTGCCCAGTCCGGCGGCTTTTCCTGGGCTCTTCGGCCTCCGGGGCCCGTGGCCGAGCCCCGGGGGCCATCGGAAGTGGATCCAGGACAAAATTGAAGGGAAACTGGGACACACAAATAAATACACACAAATAAAAAGATTCCCCATATTTTCCCATATTTTCTGGGTTTTTGTCTTCCCCACCACTTCCCATATTTTCCCATATTTTCGGGGAAATCGACGATTAATTGTGTCTGTGTGTTTTTTCCCCTCCTGAAACATAACACTCCCGGGGAAGGGGTCGGGGCCGCGGATTGAAAGCATCATATCGGCGGATGTCTGGGGAGGGGGGGGGGGAAAGGGTGGATAGGAATAGGACCGATCGCGAAGCGAAGTTCCAGGACCCGACCACCACCCGTGCCATTGCTCAGGTTGAGTTGGGCGAGTTCCACTTCGAGAATTTACCCTCGTATACACGACGGTCGGAAGAAGTAGGTAAAAGCATGAAGTAGGAAGGCGGATCAAGTGGATGCGAATCAGGCCTTCCTAGAGAATAGCAACACACAGCAAGGGCATGCAGAATCTTGAAGTAGGAAGGCGCTGGAAGTAGTTTGGGACCTGGGAATTCAAGAGTACCTACTTTCAGCGACCGGCGTGCACTCTTGTTACGCAGCTCCTCCGAGCCGGCGTGATCTGAACACGCGCATCTTGGGAAACGATGAGGGCGCCCGAGCGGGGGAGGAGGGGGGAGAAAGGCGCCCTCCGGCGCGTGCCCGTCGGGGTCGCGGTCGCCTCCTGGGCCGAGGAGGCGCGGCGGGAGGGGGGCGGGGCGGCGGGAGGTCGAGGGGTTTCGGAGAGGGAGGAGGGCGGAGGAGGAGGAGGAGGAGGAGGAGGAGGAGGAGGAGGAGGAGGAGGAGGAGGAGGAGGAGGAGGAGGAGGAGGAGGAGGAGGAGGAGGAGGAGAGGGAGGTAGAGGCAAGCCAGATGCGCTCGCGCCACATCTGGCCTCCCAGGCCTCCCACCCGGAAGCGGCAGGGGAAGAGAGACGCTGACGTCCCGCCTCCGCCGCGGGGGCCGAGGTCGTCCACATTGGGCGGACGTCCCCCCCCCCCCTCGGCCGCGGAAGCCGACGTGCACTTCGGGAGGACGCCCCCCCCTCTTGACCGAAAGAGTGGGCCGCCGGTGTCGGCCGTGAATGTTGGCCACCCTCGGCCGCGGAAGCCGACGTGTACTTCGGGTGGACGCCCCCACTCTTGACCCCAAGGGTGGGCCGCTGGGGTCGGCCGTGGAATGATGGCCGCTCCGCTGGCCGCTAGAGTCCCTCCCTTCCCGCTGACGCCCGGGGTGGCGTCAGACCTGAAGCTCCTCGCGGCTGGAGGCGTCAACTGGGCCACTTTATTGCAGTAAGCAATTAAGAACCCCCCGGGGTTATCGTTAGCACCGCACCGTAATTCAATAATTCTTAGGGGACGGTTTTCGCGGAACGGTATCTTTAGCACCGCGCAAAAGAAAGGAAACTACATAATAATAATGAATAGATCCCGCGCCTTGGCTCGGGCTCTATCCCAATGGGAACCTGTAGGATTCCTAGATATTCCTATTCCCCTCCTGACTCGTGCTACGGCCGCTGCGACGGTAACATGGGACTCCCCCATAGGACTCCCCCACAGCACACTCGTCTGCGTTCAGAACAGTTTCTGACGATGTCTCAGGCGAGGCGCTTGTTTCAGAACCACGTGGAGGCCAGACTGCGAGAATGTTTCAGGTGGTTTCCTTGTTTCGGCGGGCAGACTCGTCTGCGTTCAAAGCAGGTTGCGAGGTGCCAGGCTAACGCTTCCAGGGTGCTGGAGCGTTATACTTTCGCCGGAGAGGGGGGGGGGCTTTCTTGATTGCCTCTCCGGAAATGCTCTGCGGCACGGGAGATGGCCTGCCTGCTGTTGAACTGCAGCTCGGTGCGGCAGAATCTGGGACACCCTCATGCCTGGGGTCACACGGTACTGGCGCCTGTCGCCGAAAGATGAGAAGCCTCCTGTGCCTTCTTTGTAATGCGCGCGACGCCACACTGCATTGAATACCAACAACCATCTCGCAGGTGCGACGTTCAAATTGCATCGGGTCCAAGCAAAAATAACACTGGCCATCCACACTGGCTGCAAAACTGCATACGAAAACGGTCCTTGGACCCGGTTTCACCAACGAGGACCCCAACCACGCCGACATGCCTTGGTGGTGACCCAGGGGAGAGCGACCTGACCCAGAGTCTTACTGCGCGGACAAGACACAGGAGGGAGGACGGACGCAGGATGGGCGAAGGAGGGGGGCGGAGGAGGAGGAGGGGGAGGAGGAGGAGGAGCAAGAGGAGCAGGAGGAGGAGGAGGAGGAGCAGCAGGAGGAGGAGAATAAGTTTGCCTGATGATTGACCGAATCGCTTGATGAGAGACATCCGCCTTTGCAACACTGAATACAGCATTATCGAAACAATGCAACAACATACAAGCAAGTGAATGGAATATGGAGAATGCGACAGCGAATACAACTTGTCGAAACACTGTAACAAGGGCACAAACATCTTTGAATTATGTGCCCACCCCCACGGGCCGAGTGCACCCATTATGGTGGGGTGTCTCTTGCCTGGGGACGCGCCTGCCTTAAGGGCTGCAGGCGCCCGTGGTCCTTTCCATCTCCAGCGTGACGCGGGGCAGGCCGACGTTGGCACGAACGACACCTTTGTTTCCGACGTAGGGAAAACACCACGTGTAAAGCGCTCTGTGAGCTTCCTCTTGACACTGTGCCGGGCTGCAAGCACGGTAGCTGTATTTGCCAGAAGATGTCGAGCCAGGCTACTAAACCCTGACTATCTGGCCTTCCAAGAGGGAGGGAACGACTACTCCCTCTTTCGTGACATCGTCGGCACCTGGCGGCTTGGCCGCAGGTGCCCCCTTCTTCCTTGAATGTCCAACCCCCCGCCCCCGTGACCAGAGCACTGACTGGAGCACAGGACGGCGGAGCCGACTTCGTATCCCGGTTCTCGGGCACCACAATCAGAGCGCACGTGCGAAGCCCCCTCTTTGGTAAAGCGACCACTGCTACTACTCTGGCCGATGGGAAAAATGCTGCACCGCCGAAAACGAGCTCTTGGAGAGATTTTCGGCTGATAACCCGAAGTTTGCCTGATGATTGCCCAAAATCGCTTGATGAGAGACATCCGCCTTTGCAACACTGAATACAGTATTATCGAAACAATGCAACAAAGTACAAGCAAGTGAATGGAATATGGAGAATGCGACAGCGAATACAACTTGTCGAAACACTGTAACAAGGGCACAAGCATCTTTGAATTATGTGCCCACCCCCACGGGCCGAGTGCACCCATTATGGTGGGGTGCCTCTTGCCCGGGGACGCGCCGGACTTAAGGACTGCAGGCGCCCGTGGTCCGTTCCGTCTCCAGCGTGACGCGAGGCAGGCCGACGTTAACACGAACGAGCCCTTTGTTTCCGACGTACGGAAAACACCACGTGTAAAGCGCTCTGTGAGCTTCCTCTTGACACTGTGTCTGGCTTCAAGCACGGTAGCTGTATTTGCCAGAAGATGTCGAGCCAGGCTACTAAACCCTGACTATCTGGCCTTCCAAAAAGGAGGAAACGACTGGAGAAGGAGGTGGAGGAGGAGGAGGAGGAGGAGGAAGAGGAGGAGGAGGAGGGAGGCAGGACAAGCAAGAGGAACAAAGAGGGCGGAGGAGGGAGGAGGATGAGGAGGAGGAAGACAAGGAGGAGGAGGAGGAGGAAGGAGGAAGGAGGAAGGGGGAGAGCCCGCTGCCCGCCCACGCGCGGCGGAGGCGCGAGAGGGGGGGGGGCTCGGCCGGGGCTCCTCGACGCCCAGGTCCACTCCCCGGTCGACGAGCGCCCGCAGGCCCGGGATGACCGCCTCCCGCGAGCGGCGGGCGTGCCACGTTTGCCAGGGGGCGGAGGGGAGGCGGGAGGGAGAGAGCCCGCTGCGCCCCCCCCTCCCAGGGACGGCCACGTCCCGCTCGCGCGCACGCCGCGAGGCGGCGCTCGAGCGCCCGCGGCGAGCGCATTCCATTACCCGCGCCGTCGCAGTCAGGACTCTGGGGCTCGCTCCCGTGGGTGTGCGGTCGCATGGATCCTCCTCCTCCTCCTCCTCCTCCTCCTCCTCCTCCTCCTCCTCCTCCTGCGCGCGTTCCGCGCGGGGGCCCCGCGAACAAGAAAGGCCCCGTCGGCTCCACGGCCTCGCGGCCCGCGGGGGCCCGGCCCGCGGGGGCCCGGGCACGGAGAGGTCTCCCCACGGCGGGCCTCGCCGCCCTCGATGCCGAAGCGCTTCGTGGTGGGGAACTTGTCGCCCAGGAAGCGCTCGAAGGCGTCCGCCAGGCAGATGCCGCTGTAGACGCTGATCATCTTCTCCTGACCACCTACCAGACCACCCCAACCCAACCCGAAGACCAGAATTCGACCCGAATCTCGGGTTGGGGGGGTACGGATTCCATGTGTTGTTTCAATGCTCCCCGACCCCCCCCCCACTGGAAATCGAGGATAAATTTGGGCCTTCGGGTTGGGTTGGGGTGGTTTGGTGGGTGGTAATCTCCTGGTCGAAGTCGAGGAAGAGCGGCGTCTCCACGCGCTGCCGGATCCAGTTCAGGCGCCGGCGCTCCGAGATGTGCATGTACTCCACGCCGATGGTCCCGCAGTACGTGGCCCGCACCCGCTCCACGATCTCACGGAGGGTCAGCTCGCCGTCGGAACCCAGCGCCTGGCGGGGCGGGGCCTGAACGCTGTTATTCGTGTTGTGTTCGTTCTGTTTGTCGTTTTGCTCGACCCGTTTTCCTAGACCTCCCTCCCAGAACGAAAAAACAAGACACAGCCGAAGCCCAGCAAAACAACCATTAGGTCCAGCCCTGGCGCCTGGATGGAGGACAGGAAGCCGTTGTTCCCGCCGGTGCTGCCCTGCCACAGCATGTTGCCCTCGCTCACCACCTTTAACCAGCCTCGAACTTATCCCTATCCATAAGATCGGCAAGCCCAAGGCGATGACAATCTTGGGGATGCGCCCTCAGAAACTGAGGGAATCCGTAAGATCAGCACCGAGGTAAGTTGATGCCAACCAGGGGGACAGGGATATGTTCCAAGACATGCGACGTCCTGATTTTTCCCGACCATCCTGTGGTGTTGGGTCCTCGTTTTGAAAAGACGGTCCCCACGTTCTCCTCCTCTCGTGCCCCCCCCCTCCTCCCTACCGTCCGCATGCGTCCCGCACACCCAGTACAACGTTTCGTGGCCCCATAGGGAGCCCCACCGAAGGTCCCAGTGCTACCGTCCGCATGCGTCCCGCACACCCAGTACAGCGTTTCGTGGCCCCATAGGGAGCCCTACCGAAGGTCCCAGTGCTACCGTCCGCATGCGTCCCGTACACCCAGTACAGCGTTTCGTGGCCCTCCTCCCCCTCCTCCCTGCGTTCCACCCACCCAGTACAACGCTTCGTGGCCCCATAGGGAGCCCCACCGAAGGTCCCAGTGCTACCGTCATCATGCGTCCCGCACACGCAGTACAGCGTTTCGTGGCCCCATAGGGAGCACCACCGAAGGTCCCAGCGCTACCGTCCGCAAGCGCCCCGCACACCCAGTACAGCGTTTCGTGGCCCCATAGGGAGCCCCACCGAAGGTCCCAGTGCTACCGTCCGCATGCGTCCCGCACACGCAGTACAGCGTGTCGTGGCCCCATAGGAAGCCCCATCGAAGATCCCAGCGCTACCGTCCGCAAGCGCCCCGCATACCCAGTACAGCGTTTCGTGGCCCCGTAGGGAGCTCCACCGAAGCCCCCAGTGGGACCGTCCGCATGCGTCCCGCACACCCAACCAGCGTGTCGTGGCCTTCCTCCCCCTCCTCCCTTCGTTTCACCCACACAGTACAACGTTTCGTGGCCCCATAGGGAGCCCCACCGAAGGTCCCAGTGCTACCGTCCGCATGCGTCCCGCGCACCCAGTACAGCGCTTCGTGGCCCCATAGGGAGCCCCCACCGAAGGACCCAGCGCTACCGTCCGCATGCGTCCCGTACACCCAGTACAGCGTTTCGTGGCCCTCCTCCCCCTCCTCTCTGCGTTCCACCCACCCAGTACAGCGTTTCGTGGCCCCATAGGGAGCTCCACCGAAGGCCACAGTGCCCCCGTCCGCATGCGTCCTGGAAGCCCAATTTGGCATTTTCACCCACCCTGTGCGTTTCGTTGCCCAACAGGGGGCTCCACCCAAGGCCCTAGCGTCACCGTCCTCATGCGTCGGGGAAATGTAATTTGGCATTTTCACGCGCGCAGTGCAGCGCTTCGTGGCCCCATAGGGGGCTCCACCGAAGCCCCTAGTGGGACCGTCCGCGTGCGTCCCAGTAACCCAATTTGGCATTTTCACCCACTCAGTAGAGCGCTTCGTGGCCCCATAGGGAGCTCCACCGAAACCCTCAGTGGGACCGTCCGCATGCGTCCCGGAAACCCAATTCGGCACACCACCCACACAGTACAGCGTTCCCCCCGCCCAGTGCAGCGCTTCGTGGCCCCATAGGGAGCTTCACCGAAGCAGATATTCACAATTACGGTACCCACAACTGCATATGGTTGGGACCTTCGCCAGGATAATTTCAGGACGGCGTCCCTGGAAGTCCCGACCCGTTCCCCGGGACCAGTTTTTCGTCCTGAGTCATTTTCTGACGGCCCCGAGGCCCGGCGAGGGCCCCCCGGGGCCGAAAATAGCCAAACATTTGCCGTCCTGATTTTTTTAACGACGCAATCATGTCTGGGTTCCCAGCTGGTAAAAACCTTGTCCAGGTCGGCCTCGGAGAAGCCGTGGAACTTCGGCGTGAGCTCGGCGATGGGCCGCGTGCGGCTCCTCCACTGGTGCTGGCCCAGGGGGTCCAGCGCCGCGGCCTCGTGCCCGCGCGACTGGAAGGCCTGGATGAGGTACTTCAGCCCCATCGGGTCGATCGTGTAGCCGTCGTCCTTCCCCAGACATGATAGCGCCGTAAAAAAATCAGGACGGCACATTTTTAGCTATTTTCGGCCCCAGGGGGCCCTCGCCAGGCCTCGGGACCGTCAAAAAACGACGCAGGACGAAAAACTGGTCCCGGGGACAGGGTCGGGACTTCCAGGGACGCCGTCCTGAAAAAATCAGGACGTCGCATGTCTGGGAGCCGAAGTGGGAGCGATTGGGTTGGACTGGCTCGGGGGGTAGCACTGACGACCGAACCGGCGATACATCGCCGATGAATCGGTCGCGGGCTCTCGATAGCGAAGCCGCACGTTCATGGCCAGAGTGAGCCGCCCACGCCCCGATTGGCGGTGGATGGGCGATTGGGGTCGATGCTCACCGTTCGGTTGCTCGGACAATACCATGGAAGAGAGCAGGGAAGGAAGAAAGAGAGGAAGGATGAGACAGCGGAGAAGAGTAATAATGAGAATAAGGCTAGCAATGAGCGTCATAACAACAAGGAAAAGAAGAAGAGGAAGAGGTGGAAGGATAAGGCAGTGGGGAAGAAGAGCGAGGACCACGAGGGAAGGAGGGACAAGCGGCAACGGTAGGACAGAGAGGGGGACGAGAGGA